AAGCGTAGCCGCTTGCTTTTGACAGCTCATCACCTTACCAGTTGTTATTAGTTCTGTCTTTAGTCATTTATGGTGCCTTCACATCTTACCATCGCCTACCACAGTTCCAAGCCTCCACAGTTAACACGAATGGCGTTACAAATGTAGTGACTCTGGCTTTCTATGGCACTTTATCAAAAAATATCAGTTGTTATCAGTTGCCATCAGCAAACATCTACAATCTTCTTACATCCTTCGTCTCCCGTCAAATTGTCAGGGCTCCACTGTTAACAGGAAGGGCGTTGTCGCGCTCGCCGTAAAGTCGGTCCCTATCAGTTGTTATCAATCCCTGTCATCATCCACTTGCGATCGCTTCGCATCCCACATCACCCGTCAATAGCCAAGGCTCAACAGTTAACACGAAGGGCGTAACAGAGCCTGTGGTTCTCGCCTTGTATGACACGTTATCAGTCCCTACCAGTTGTTATCAACTCCTACCATATACATTGATGTCCCATCCTACCATCTGTATTCCTTTCGAATTTGAATGCTCTAGGCCCTCTGGGGCAGGAATTATGAGTGTCCGGTCGGACAAACACAAACGCACCAACAAACATACTAGCAGATTATATTGGGTTGCCCGAAAAGTTTCCGCCGATTTTTGATTCATCTTTGAATGAAAATTACTAAAAGAAGAAATCCGTTAATAGAACAATATATCCTCCTTTCTGTTCAGTAAGGATTCGCCATCCTCCTGCAATTTCCAGATCCCCTTTTCCATAGAAGGTTCCAGAGTTAAAATCGAAAAACACTCTCAGGTGCTTTTTGCAGTCCTAAAGCGGATTGAACGATTTTCCATTCAAAGAATGTTGCAGAAACCTAAACAAGTGGTACTCTGATGGTGTCCAAAAATACGTGTGGTCTGGAGTTACCCTGTTAGAAGATTACGCCCTCACGACTGCCACTTCGGGTAACCTCTGGTCTATAGCTGCCTCCATATTTTCTGGCTAACTATAGTACCTTTGCGAAGTCATCGTTTGATTATGCGACAACAGCTCATGGTAAGTGATTTCCCTAGAATCCCATCAGCAACTCGGCATCCACACCGCACCTAGTTTTTGACTTTGCAGCGGTTTGTGACGGCTCACTAGGAGGCTCCACGATCGCTTCCGCTTCTTACTGCTGTACACAATACAATTTTCGTCCTTCGTACTCATGCGTTTCAGAAACGGCTCATTTTTATTTCATTTGAGCAACGAGTCGCACATGGAGGCGCGGTCCATCGCATTGCGCTCGCTCATTTCACGAGATATCTAAACATCAAGGCGTTTTACAAAACCAACTGTCTGCAGGTGACCATGAAGGGTTAATTTTGAAACAGTAAGCCCTTGTCCTACTCCACGAGTAGTTATGTGCTGATTCGCTTTGGTTCACATTTCGATTTGCTCGTTTTAACTGATGATACTCTCCCTGAAAGTTGCCGGTCTTAGAGGGTAAATTCACTCTGATTGGATCTCGCAAACTAGTCACGCACTGTACTTTCCTCTAGAGCATGGTCTACTCAAACGTCATATATCTTTCTTGCGGCTTGAGCCGCATTCTAGGCCTTGCGGTAGAAGGAATACTTCGGCTGCCGAAAATGCACGCAGTGGTTCTCCATTTTCACACCAGTCCTGTACAGATAAACTTTGACAAATGTTGACAGGATCCCGACAGGAATATAGCGGAGGACCTGCTCTTTCAGAAAACATATAACTTTAGGAGGTTGGGTCCATGATCTTTTGTGGGGAGACGGGCGTTAGGAAGGATTTTGGGTAATCGATTCGCCGCACGCGGCTGTCGCGGACCACTCATTCTCCGTTATTACAGCTCTAGCGTTCTTCATGCAGCACAATCGATATGCGATCATTATTTTATACATATTTCTACTATTAGTTTTTGTTCTTGTATTACTTATCTACTGCTGCATCCTGCTACATTCCTTCGCGCGCGACGCCCCTCTCACCACGACGCGACCATTTCGTTCCTAACGCACCACACCTTCTTTTGTGCAACAGTTGATAAATCAAAATTCGGCGGGAACTTTTCGGACAACCCAATNTACCTTGATCATAATCATGGGAAGTTCGGCGTACAGAGAAGCGGACAGACAAACAAATCTATACGAACGTACAAACAGACAGGTCGACAAGGAAACTGACACACCAGGTCGGCTTTGTGTATAGGAAGAATATGGCATCACTTCTGAAGCGGGGACGTGCGATTCGTGCGATTCTAGGTGCGCGCGGCAAATTGCGCGGCGAAATTCGCGATGATTCAATCAACACTGGCGTCTATCATTGGGGCACAAACTTGAAGTAGAGTACTTAAGTAGGGTCGGACAATCCTACTAACCTACTTTACTTCAAATTTGTGCCCCAATGATGAACGCTGCAGTCGTCCAAAACGCACCAAATTTCGCCGCGCAATTTGTCGCGCGCACCCAGAATCGCACGAATCGCAACACACCCCTTCTGAAGGAATCTCAAAATAAGTGGCTTCACGAATTCCTTTTGTATGCTTTTGTTTCGTATGAATAGGCTTTTAAGATGGCGGCAAACCAGAGCGCAGGATTTAGTCAAGTTCAACATAAGTTCAACATGGGAGATCGCCTCGAATAGAAGTTTTTTTTGAAATAAGGTAGGACTGTGATACGACTTTTCTTTTGCACGTTGTTTGACTCCTTAGCCATATTAGTTTGAAAAAATGATACTCTCAGAGTTGAGTATGATAGAGAAGTCTCCTCTGCAGGGACCATATATGTAATTCAAAAAGGACCAGTGAAAATTTCAAGAAGCGGATATTGAATAAGAAACAACGAATTTTTTGATCTGAGCTATACCTATAAGCCCCGCAAAGTGCTCATCAACCGGAGATTTGCCTGCGTTTCTGTAACGCAACAGTTCTACGGCTATGATGTCAGTGGCAGCTCAATGAAGAATTCTCTGTCGTTGAACCCTCAAAACCAACATGCGAACGACTTCGGAATTCAAGCTTAACAATGGCAACTTTGACATTGAAAATCGAAATGAAAAAAATGAAAACAGCAAGCGTATACCGGCTTATAAAAGGGAACTGTTTTCGACTACCAGCGCATTTAAAAACTTTACGGTGGCAGATTAAGGCACCTATGTTTCGTTTTCTCGAAAATTTATGCGATACCGTCATAGTACAAGGCACTGGGGTTTCTCAGTATGGAATGAATGGTGCGTATCGGTCAGGCCACACAGGCAGAGAAGTTTTTGAAGGTTCGCTTAAAAATCTCCGAGCACATAATCCTACTGTTATCGTTTACATATGCTTAGACCGAGTTAATCGAGAACAATGAAATAGCAAACCTCAAAACTGAAAAAAGTCATTTTTCTGGAACGTCTCATGGGCGTTGTAATCTAATTCGTAAGTTTACGATGCAAGGATTGAGGGCGTTCTATAAACTCTGTGTCACAATGGAGACTAAAATTAAAGGATTACACTTTAAGCCAGACTCCGGTGGAGGGCCAATGTGCCGACAGGAAATGGCATAATCACCCATGCTACGTATCTGAAAAAATTGGTCTGCCTTTGATATTTACACTGTGAGTAGGCTGTACCCCCGAGTTGAGGCACATGGGGAAAAAGACCCTTTCAACCACTGTGAGAGTCATTTTCTAACCTCTTCAACAGATCCATTCTGTTCTAGCACCTTTATGCCAGGTGGAGGCCCTTTGATGGAACCGTCACATGCAAGTACGTATACCACACTCGACCCTAATACTACTTACAGCTCAAGCTGACCGACTTGCCAATGCCAATTTTATCATGATGAAGAGAATGATAAGATCCAGCACTGCATGAAAAGGAACCTGGAACTCCTCCAAAACGATTCACAAAATTTAGCTGCAGTAGCTCACGGACCTTACATGCAGTTTATGATAAGCTAAACATTTTGAATGATGATCTCGGTAGAGGTATCTCTCTGAATGCATGTGAGGAACATACATATGGGCAAAAAAAAAGAATAACTTTCTACAGCTTATGGAAATGAACAAAACAATCGAGAAAGAATGAATGGTAAACAGCTGTTCATTGAACTTCCCTTCAAGGAAGTGCTGTTCTTCCTTACACTTATATAGAAATCGAAGAAGGGCTCATGCCCGGACTACCCGGATGGTGTAGGCGTTGTTCATGTTCGAGAGTTCACACTTTCAAACGAGTCTTTCGCGAACTATGGGATTTCTCTGGCCGATACTTGATAGGGTCTTGTACTCCACGGAATTCTCTGGACTCAGAGAAAGTTCAACCCCACAGACTGCTCTAGTAGTGCATGACGATGAACCCATTGAATTGACTTTGCGAGAGTCATGTTCCAAAAAGGTCAAGTGGCTTAAAAACCACTGAATTCCTGTCTGAAAAGTAGTTCGAAAATGATGTCAGAGTTCACTTCGAAGTTGGGGTGAGTGGCTTTCAGGTTGTTTCCATTATCTCATGGGCAACTATATCTCCATGCGATTGTAGATTGATGGGTACGCACATAATCACCTCGGAGCAATGGAGTTCGAGGCTCGAAGGAAGCGGCCACGAGGAGCCCCAGCGAAGAGGTGCGGGACGTGATCAACAAGGACCTATACGAAGCCAGAGTAACGGCAGAAAATGCCCTAGATAGAAATAAGTGGAGACTGCTGACAAGTATAGCGGCCCTGCGACGGTCTGGGATCAACGCCAGGGAGAGGAAGAAAAGGAAGGGTGTGAACACAATCAGAGTTTCTTTGAAGGGGACCTTTCCCTTTTTTTCTTATAGATTCCATTGTGATTATGTGCGAATCAAAGAAGGTTGGATTTCAACAATAAAGCAGCAAAAATTGCTTGAGGAAATTCCACTGTCAGAAAACCATCAGAATCACCGCAGTGGAGGGGTTTTCCATGAAATTTCTAAATTCATGAAAACCTAAGGATCAACACATGGTAATCAACTCGTTGTAAGTGCATAAGTTGAGAGCAATGAGCTAACGACCCAATAAGTTGATGGTTTCGAATTCGTCAACAACTGCATGTGCAAATGTTGCCTGATCGGCTCCAGTGAATGCAGCTGAACGCAGGAAGGCCCCAATAATTACCGTAATTACCGGATTAGCCAGCGTTCGCCAGTGCAAAAAAAGTTCAGATCTAAAAGAGTGTTTTAATGACAGGAATGTAGCAACCATTGACCGGAACTGGGATGGATGTGGGTTAAAGAAGGCGGTTAGAATGTAGGGGAAAACGCTACGATTAAGGGTACACTATTCACAAACTGATAGAGAAGTAGCGTAAAGACTAGAGTTTTTCAAAGACATTAGATCACCCTTCTTAGATGAAATGGAGGTAGAGTGGTACGATATACATAGGCCTACTTGTGTCGAGAGCAGGATCAGTGTCTTGAGCGTTTCAGAACCTCTGTTTTATGGAATCGGAGGCTTATATGTGGATTACTGCTGTAAGTTCAAGCTTCAGGCCTCAAACGGTGAACGTAAATCTTCTCATCTAGGTCCATAAACTGCGCGAACTGCGCTTCTATCCAATTCCTTTCTTCCCTAAAGAGGGGTTGAGTTTTGCCACTAATTTTCGAATTTCCTCTTCTCAGATTGGACCTTTGAATCCATGCATACCTATAAGCTTCCAGGTATGGTAGTTGTGGGTTCACTTGAGTTGAATAATGAGTAAGAATTCAAAAAATGAAGTCTACGGGTCAACACAACAGGCATCATGTGTGATAAGCATTGCCTTGCAGTTTTTTTCAGTCACGAGGTATTTTTTTATCGAATCGGAAATCTTACAACTGAGCCGGCGAATTTTTTATTGTTACGTATGAAGACTAGCTGAGTACACCCACATTGCACAAAATCACGTCCATTGGAATACCCTGGCTGTTGCCTCTGAAGAAGCTCCATGAGCGAATGCTAGAATGATGGCCAAAAGAGCCCCAAACAAAAACAAGCATTGTCAGGTAGAAGCTTGCAACGCGGAGCAAACTTTCGTTTGACCGCAAAAAGCTCGCGATATTCACTAAAGCTACCAAAGCGGAAAATCCGTCCCGGATTAATCTTAAAGCCGATGTGGGAAAGCCAACGAGAAATCAATCCAGCGTGAAGAACGAAGGTCTTCATCAAATGAAAGTTTTTCGCGTTAGAACAAAGGAGCTGATGAATGTTTAGAAGGTGGAGCTTTTTCGAGGTAGAAGTCGTCAGCAGTTATAATAAGGGAAGAGCAGACATAACAATAGAACCAGTGAATCACTTCTGAATGTTGGCGCCTCAGAAAATCATAGAACATAGCTCAAAGGCGAGCAAGCCCTACAGAAGAACAGAATAAAAAGAACAATTGTTGAAAAGTGGTCCATTTGCATGACTCGACCACACGCAACCGGTTTTGCTTTATTGAAACAGCCGCCACTGCTGACTCACAATCAAAAAATACGGCTACGTACTGTACTGAGAGCAAAACTCGTAGACCTACCTTTCCTGGAACGAATACTACTGCCGGCGGATCTTCCCGTGTGGAGGGAGCATTGAAACATGGTGATCCGCTGAAATCGTTTAATGAAAACAAGTCGTAAAGAAAACAATCAGACTTGCTCACCTAGGCGTCTCAGGTTGTTCTCCCATTGATATTAGCTGCATTTGACTCTCGTTAGTCCTCAGATGCACGTAGTCGGGCGGGTCGCCAAAAGGCATCTGAGCAGTTCATATTTCTGGCAACCGTCCAACCCCCTCACAGGAAATGCGATTTAGTCAAATGGCTGCTGCGCCATGGCACGCGATAAGAATTAGGGATGAACTAAGCGGATATTCGAGATGGCGAATCATCTCGTCATGGCAAAAGACCCTTCTAAACTAACTCCCACGTACTTCCTGAGGCTCAGAAAGGAATCAAGCGAGCGAGAAGGGGATACGAACACAATAGACAAGACTGAATATTTTGCTGTAGATAACTAGCTGTGATTCGATGTGCCCACGACTATTCAGTCCCTTAGTGGCCGGGATCTGCCGTCCGTGTATCTGTTCCCCCTCACAGAATTAGACTTATTTATCCATTATGTTTGTATCAACAACTTCTTAGAGAATCAATTTTGGGTGTTGGTCTAGTGAAGACATGCGCTACTGAGCTGCACTCCTTGATAAGATGATGATTTTGGCTTTGGTGGCAACCAAAAGAGGTGTTGAGCCGGTGGTTTGTGAGCCAATTCATGTGTAGTGTTATTGTGGTAGAGAAATGTCTGTGAACGACTTAATAAGTCTGAAAGCAGAGAAATAGCTCTTTTATAGCATGTCCTTCTCCGAGCGAATGAAGGCTATCAGGAGAAAGCCATTGGTATCGCGGGAAGTGTCCATTACCAACGAGCACAAGCTCCTTCCAAAACTCATGCTTCAGGGTCTTCTCTCACATGATCAAACAACAACAGCCTTTGGGCTTTCTGATTTATTTGTTCGATTTTTCTTGACTCGTGGGCTGGTTATTATCCGCTACTTCCCGAAACATGTTCAGGCTATCGAGGAATGGGCCTTCAAGCAAAGACAGTTGCATAATCCCAATGGCCTTCCCTTCTCTCTTTTCTTTCATTTCTTTCAACTAACTCCACCCAAACACCACTGTCCACATGAAGCATAGAATACATAGACAGCCGATGGCGCACCTTACCTTTAGGGGAGATGGCCGGTTGGTCAGGTTCCGACCCCAGTGCGATTCCGCCTTTATCGCTAGAGCACTACAGCTAAGTATGTTCGTACAGATGATGAAAAACGTGGCTGAATAGTTGACGGCTGATGTGTGGCTCCCAGTATTATCACCTGCATACGGTGGATAGGGAAAAAGAACTTCTTTCAGAAAAAAATCTGACCAAGTAGCTTTCTTATAGAAGCCACCTGAGGACCCTCACGACAATATAACTGAAGAATAAGCAAGTACCGCCGTTAATTTGGGACAATACGGGCTACAGAAGGCAGAAGGTCATTTCTTCTGGCAACTGTTACTCAACAACATCATATACATATGTCGGAAGTCAGAGGTGCTGCAATTGCTCGCAGACAGTGGGACCTCCTCCATCATTTTTTCTGAATAGCTGAGGGGGGCAGTTCTTCATGCTCGCATCTATACATAGTACTGTACCGGTAACCACCTACTAAAAAACTCTCTTGAAATGTAATAGATGCGAGGGAGAAAAATTGAATTGAGTGCGTTTTTCTGCTTAGCTGCACAAATGCCAGGGCACTTGATGGAATTCTCTTCTTTCCTGATCCATCTAATATCCGTTATCCATTGGCATTGACGCATGCTCCATGCCACAGTACATCTTCAGCCTCTAATCAGAAATCTCAAAGAATAAGTTGCCGGACGATTCTGTTGTGAGGAAAGGGGAGGGAGAGGTAGATTCATTATTTCTCTAAACTCTGCAGCATTAAAGTGGTGATACCTGGCGTCATCGTAACGAGAAGGGAAGTACAAACGTGGCATATGGTAATGAAAACTTAAAACTGAGTATAACGAGATTTATGAAATCCATAGCAGAAGAAAGTAAGCTGATGAACAAGAAAACCAGTCATAGCAGTGTCGTTTGAGCCAAAGTCTGTCAGAAATGAGAGTTTCTTTATGAAGATTTCCTCCTATCCTCTTTTCCCTCTTTCCTGATGCTTCATTGACTCTCTTTTCCAAGTCGCACACCAGCATGTAGCCACCCTCGTCTGTTGGAGTCTGTCACCAATATTAAAAACTTTTTTGGCTCAGAAATTGAGAGGCAGCTAAAAAGCTCTGAAAAGATCACCCTGAGAAGCGTTACAAGGCAATTTTTAGAGAAGTGTATTAGTTCCGACAAAAATCACCATTTATACGGGCACAGGGTTATGGGTTGTGAGCCCATTTCGTTGGAGGCCGTTAGGGGGCTTCGTTGGAGGCCGTTAGGGGGCAAGCCTAAGTTTTTGCAACCATTTATATCCTGGACCACCAAGAACCTAAAAGCCTACTTATCATGCCCAACTAAAACAAAACTAATCCCAGACGGTGTGTTGAAGATTTGTAACCCTTGCCCATATACCACAGGATTAGTCGGTATCCCAGTTCTGATACAAATGAGCAGAAGAAGAATTCTTAAGATGCCATTCAAAGATCGTATGCCAATGAAGGGGGCTTCATTGTGGTTTACACTTTCCATAAAACGATTCTATTTTTTTCTTCTTCCTCTCTTTTCTCCTTATCGCTCCAAGAAAGAATTTTTTTCCATGGAGTAAGATAGAATCAAACTGAAAAAGTATGGCTTCCAAGTGCGAAGGAAGGAAAATGTCAAAGCATGACTTCTCTAACACTGGCATCATTTCAAGTGGGAATATTAATTTTGTTTATTACTCTCGCTTTCTATGTAGATGTTAGTTGATGTCTCTCAGACGTTCCGCAAGAAGCCTTGAAGCAAAAGCTTCTGTTTACATTTCAGCAGAAATCCCTTAGAACTAATAGAGCTGAAGAAATGTAAACTCAGAAGTATGTCTTAATGGGTGAGCGCTGAAAAGTGAGCGTTTTCTGTTATCGCCTTTGTTTCGAATGGAGAGACCACAGAGCTTCTTGTAAACTTATTTAAGTGTGCTGGTTGTTTGTAGAGGAGAGGGAGGTGGGGGTGGGCTAGGGTGAGCTGGGGAGGTGTCGGTGTCTTCAGGGCTACAAATCGGGGGAGCGCGATGTTATCGAGCGCCAAGGCTTCATAGTAAGTTCGACTACTACAGGAGTGAGGTACACCCCAGAGGTCACCCCTGACCGTAACCCTTTACCCCAAGCTGTTATGCATGACATGAAGATGTGGGAATCCATGGCGCAGGTTCTTATACTACTTCATGACAAGAGCAAAAAGCTCGAACAAACCTTGTAAAATACGATTTTGCCGTTTTAATTGATATCAGTCGATTTGAGGGTGCAAGATTAAAACCAATTGAGAACCTATAAAAGCAGAGGAAGACTCAGAAAATCGTATGACAACAATTAAGCATGAGAATCAGCGAAAGTAAGCTATTAGGAGTGATACACGGAGGAATTGCACTTAGAACTTGGCAATGGGGAAAAATGGAATCAGGTTTTCGACAAAAAATGTTGCAGGCTCGGATTCCCCGTGGCTAGTGGCTAGGGAATAGGAACAAAACTTGACTGGCAATGAGGAATGGCGAGAAATACTGTACAGTGCCACTGGCTCGAGGCCAAACAGAGGATCCGATGACAAACACACAAATAAACTATCGGATCACGAGGTTCGTTGGTGTCAATCACGATTCGGCAAAGAAGATGGCAGAATTTATAAAGCGAACGAGGTGTGAGTGTGTGGGAACAAGTGGGAAAAATCCTTTTGCAAAACGAATACAATATAGTTAATGAGTATTTAGGTCCATTACTGAATTAGGTATTGATGAAAAAGATATTCTGGAGCCGTGCCAGACGTTTTGTCGAGTTGCTCCAAAATTCATGCGCTCCCTCGACCTGTGGCGGATCGATTCTTCCTCATGCTGGCGCCTCAGCTCATGGAGGTCTGCTTATGCCATGTGGGGTGGATAAAGCTCATCTGCTTTCCAGTGGATGTATGGAGTGAAGCTCCATATCAGAAGTAGGACGAATTCGAACATCGGAGTCATTAGGCCTTTCCTCAGTGCTCAATGTCTTCAAATAGGAGATCGCTACAAATTGATAAGCACCTTGACTCGTGTTTCAGAAAGTTCGATTTGAAACTAGATCATATATTATAGTTAATATATAACAAAATAGTCAAAAAAATGAAGAAGTAGTACATATCAGTATAGTAAAATACTGTGTACACTAATAAGTAAATAAGTAAATAAAATAACTCATGGCAGTAGTAATAATGAAATGCCATATGATATGTGATAAATGTAGGCATCCTAGGACAAATTTAAGTGCAGAACAAGTTCGATTAAGCCGAATATAGCCGTATGATGTGTATATATTGTATGACATGCCGTTGGGCCAGATGGTGGAACACTCGCAGAAATCCGATTCGCCTTTCCGTCGTTCCCCAACATCTGGACTGGACAAGATATAGAGAAACAATAAAGGAGACAATTATGTAGCGCAAACATTGCTTACGGCAAAGTTCGGCCAAGTGAATTTTCGGAATGGAAAACCAGAAAAAAACACTCTCATTCATAAAACTATGCTCTCTAAGAAGATAACGGAGGCTGAGATAGATAGAACAGATTTTGCGGGGTCGAATACTACTTCTGAAAACTGTTTTCCGCCCTAGAAATGGGAAAATAATAATTATTGTAATTACGGTGAACGGTCTTTTCTTGAACATCCATTTAAGGCGAAGGCGAGTAGCCGAAACCTCAGCCTAATAAAAATTACAAAATCTTGGCCGAGGCTCCCGAGAAACACCTAAAAAATCATTGTAATCATCTGCCACCTTATTAGAATAATGCAGGCAGTAATGACAATGGCAGCTTTCAATCTTCTTACTAAACAAAAAACTTAGAACGCTTATACTTTTCGGTATTGACCACTACTATTATGCTTAGGAACTCATTATTTATGCTCCACTTAATGAGCTGCCGGAGGGAAGTGGGAAGCAGTTATCGCGATGAGCCAGGATGGTCTCCTAGCAGCAGAATCGTAGCAGTTGAGTTTGCAAGAGGAAACTTTTCCAAACAAGGAAAGAGTAAGGTTAAAAACATCTGGCTTTGATGAGTCC